CAAGTTCATTGCATGTTGTCAAGCATAAAAAAACAGCAAGTCTCAAGTCACCTCACAGACGTAAATCTGTCCACAGTTTTCCTCTGTCCCCCTTAGCCCGCACGCCATCACCATCTGCTACAGCTCAATCACCAGCCAGAAGTCCGTCTCCTCTGGCCCTACTTCACAGTCACCAGGTGGGAAGCTCCAACTTGCCGCAGCAAACCATCCCCTCACAGCTCAACACCCACAGTTCTCTTCATCACTCTGCCTCTGTACCATCCTGTAAAAAAGCCCTTCACACCCCTTCCCCTATCAAACCTGTTCTCCAGACCACATCTCCACAGAACCTGCTTGGAAGACCCAAGAGCTGTGAGCCTGGATCACCAAAGAGGAGGACATCTTCACCTGAGCGGCTTCACCCCAGCTCGGCCAATCAGAGACTGGCTAGTGGTGGGGCAAACCTAGACAAGCTCCCTCCTCCTCACAGGAAAGTGTCTCTCCAAGAGAGACTCCTGTCAGAGTCCCACTCTGATCCTACATGAGAAAGTGCTTTGACTTGCTTCTGAATGAATCAATCAGTATGAGCTGAGTACTTGTTCTATCAAGTCATCAACCTATTGTTACTGTTGCAGCTTATCAGACTGGACTTTTCTTTACATCTGGAAACACAAGCTGCTGACACGAAGGATTCAGTTTTGTGATCTTGCTCAAGCATAGGGTGTTTGGCCAGGATTTTGTAGGCAATGTGCCTCATTCTGTGATAGAACTATTTAGCTCCAGTGTTATTTCTGATGTTGTCTATCTGTCGTGATTGTCTGTATTACACCAAACCACTGCGTACATCAGAAACCAGCAAAAAATAAAATCAATATTGAAATGAAACTTGCTCTCATTTTGCTTTCATCATCCATCTTTTATGCAAGTGTTGTCTCCCTCCAGTAGCTGTGTTTCTCAACATTTTTTGGAGGGGTTTGGGAGGAAATTGATAACCTTTGCAAGGGTATTCTGATTCTGAAGTCAGTTTTGTTAGTCCCATATGGGATATGTAAAGATTTAAGATGATTCTATTCTAATTGTATTTTGTAGTGACGTCTTTGTGTTTTGCTTCTTTACATTTTCATTGGTGCTTATTGTTTGTCATGGCAGAAGTTCCTGATGTTATTGAGTTGAACTCAACATGAACAATTTACTTTTGACCTGTGCAGAGATTACAATTTACACCTGTAAACAAAGATTGTAAATACATTTTATATTTAGACATGTTTACAGTAAATGGCAATATAGAAAACTTCAAATACAACACAAATATATTTTATGTCTTGTTCTCAAATCAGTTGTTTCAAATATCCATATCGTTTTCTTTGTTCTTTAAAAGCCTAAATCATTGTGACTTTTTGTGAGTCCCTTCAGTGGAATCATTTATCCTATTTTTTTAAAGCTTGGCAAAAAAAATTATATACATTTGATGAACAGTCACACTTTCAATTTAGTTAAAATTAAGTCAATAGAAACTATAACATCTTTTATTTATCATGTAAGGTACTATAATAGCACTTACTAAAGAAACTATTTTTGTGTGCCAGGTAATGATAATATTGAAGTAAAAGTGTCCCAGGTAGGACCATTTAACCACCAGTGTTATTCAACTACAGCACTAAGTGTGACTGTGCAATCTTGAACAATTGTTAGCTTCATTCAAACAAAGCAGCATTGTCTCGGGTTTCAAGAATAAACTGCAATAGAATCTATCATTTGCTCATTATTTTTATTTGTATATTTGATATTTTTATTCCATATTCCTGTTTGCAATTTCTAATGAATTTTTTAAATTCATATTTTTAAATTAAACATTAAGTTTCATATAAGAGAATAGTTTACAAAGTTAGCTCAACAAAAATTTTCCTCAGCTGACACCAATACTGACTGAAGTTTGAAGTACAAATGTTTTTTCCTTTGCTCAAAATGTTTGCACTAAATGGGATTTTATTGTAGCACACTTGATTGCCATACAGTTACCTTCTTGATAAAATGTTTCATCATCATTAAATAAAATGAAGAAACTTTGAAATGTTCATTTAGTTGTGGGGATAGACTTTAAGTTGTAGAAATTGTTTAAATTCTTTTATTTTATAGTCATTTGTTAAATGGCAGATTAGTTGTTTTTTTTAATTAGAAGTGGCAAATTTGGCTGTATTTGTATTTAGAATGGCTGTACAAAGATATATGCCTCAGTGTTTTAATATGGTCTAATGTTAAATTGATTTTCAAACTCTGGTGTCTTTCATCATCTAGTTCATATCTTTTAGTGTGTCAGGGAGTTTGATGAGGTAGCTCTTAATTTACCTTTGACACTTACTCACTGTGTCCATCACTTTGTTATGTACAGTAGTCTGTGGAGAGTTTAGTCAAACATTATGCTATTAACATTTACAATTAATGTTATAAATATAGTTTTGTGTTTTTTGGTCAGTCATTTTGCATAAACTAAAGAATAGTCTGTACAAAGATAACAGTCAAACATATGCAGACAAATTCCCCCCTTTTGTGACAAATATTTGTAACTGTAAATAAAAGTATGTAAGTGTTGAATAAAAATCCCAAATAATTTTGATAAAATAAAGTTGTTGTTTTTTATGATTGTTTCAAGAGATATCGAATTGTTTTCTCAAGACATGCAAATTATGATTTATACAATTAGAGAAGAGTTAATTGTGTTTTAATGGTTTCTTTCTAACAAGACACAGTAGTCATTTGGTAGGCAATGCTACAAGTTGTATGAGGATGATACATGAAATGGGATTGAAGTAACCAACTGATTTTCAGCTAGGATCATATAATATGAAAAAAAAAAGGAATTTCTGTAATTTTAAATTGAATTTTTCTATATTGAATTGTTTATTAGCATTGAATTTTTTCTAGAAAGATCTATTTTTTCTTTATCAATTTTCTCACAAACTTAAGCTAAAACTAAATTTCATCTAAAATTAATTGGTTTTAAATTTGTTTTCAATAATTTACAAGTAATTCAAATAGTTTCATGTCAGTATTGTACATCAATATCCTTTTTTCTCAGTTCAAGTTTGTATCATTCGATGAGCCACCATCACAATTTGAAAATATTTGTACATTTTTGTCCTATTTGGTTACTTATTTTTAAATTTTGTACAATGGAGTATATATGTCTAAATTATGATACCAACATCTGATTGGTATACATTGTTGTAAAGAACAGATTATTGCAACTGGTCAGTTTTATTTTAAACATTATGCTAGAAAGAGAAGGCCAGTACTCTCAGTCATATCGCAGCTAAAAAAATCTTGATTCTTTATATATTGATCCACATAACATATTCTAAGTAATAGTTATGTAGCACTAATCTCTTGAGTTTCTATGAAGTTGACATACACTTGTACAGATTATGCTAATTGATCAACAAAAAATACAAACCATAACCCACACTTGTATAGATAATGCTAATTGATCAAGTCTGAACAACTTTGCTTTCCTAGTAGCTTTGATTTCTTCAGTTCTCAAATAACTTTCTTCTCATACCTATAAAAAAAACTGACTGACTGATATAAGTCTGGGCTGATCTTTTCAAATCATAATGCTACTGTTACCTTTTAAAAAAAAAATTGCGATAAAGAATTTTTGTGTGACTCACTTTTGGGTGTCCTTTAATTGACATGCCTTTAAATAATTAGTTGTTTCATACACTTACAGGAGTTGTATTCTTAGAATAAATTGTGTAATTTATTTCTCTAGTTTTAGAACAGAAGTAGGGTAGGCCAGAATCAGCTAGATTTAGAAAAACCAGTCTTTAAAGTTGGGTTTAAATCTTGAATTAACATGAGTTAGCATATCAAAATCATTGTTTCATTGAATTAATTGTAATTTCTAAGAATTATATTTTTAAAAAATGAAATAAAAATTCATGTTCTTGGGCAATGGCAAGATCCATCTCAGGCTGAGAACATTTGTTGTCAATGTTTTGTACATAATGTTTTATAATAATCACACTGCATGTTTGTACTCTGCCATGTTCACTGACCTGTATCATATATTGATAGTAAGTCCAGAAGAGTTAAAGTTTGCAACGGTAGATCTAGAGAAGTGTTTCATTGTTTCTCTTCATTACTTTGATCAATAAGTGGTCAACGTTAGTCTTGGTAACATAGAGGAAATGGTCTTAGAAAATTAACATAAATTGCAATCAACTGTTATAATCAAAGACAACTAGTGGATTCATCTCAACATTTAAACAGCTGCAGTTTCTTACTCTTGAGGAGGAATTTATTTTCTTGTGTTAAGCAACATTTTAATTGTATTAACATTTCATAGATTCTATATACCTCAACAAAATATTACAGTTATAGTTATTGCTGAGCCTATTATGATAACAGCCATTCAGTTTAGTCTTTTAGTTAGTAGTCCTTAGCAGTTATAATACTTTGCATTATCCCTCAACCATTTCAAGTCAGACCAAGTGACTGTATGGGATTAACATTATCACAACTTCACCCTATTTGAACCAGTCATGCAAAACCTGGCTAAATAGAATTTTAAAACATTCATTACCAAACAAAAAACCAGTCCAAGTGAATATAAGCATTTTCTGATTACTGTATGGCTTAAAAAAACAAAATATTTGTTTCTATCTGGTGTTATAGTATTATATCTGTGATGTCACCATGCTAGTAAAGTCATCATGCTTCATTGAATTGGTTCAGCAGTTCTTTTAGTTCTTGTTCTGTGCTGCTTTGTCTTTCTAATAAACAAACATGTTCCTGGAAGTTTCAAACCCAGCCAGTCAAATAAACTGATGTCATCTGAACACATTGGTTCTGAATTGATTGTTTCACTACACGTGCTGACAGTTATTACATGTATTTATAGTGCAGTGTAAGTTAAGTTTAGTGTTTGTAGACATAGTTAGGCCTACATTGTAATGAATTTATTTAGTTTGTCTAGCTTTACATCCGTTGTTACTGTCGCCCATGAAAAGCCCCGTTAACCCTCCCCCCCCCCCCCCCGTTATGAAGAGTATAGTTAACGAACTGAACAGTAGCCAGTCAGTGGGCTTTGTCCCTAAGGTGCAAGCATTTCATTCTAAAAGCCTAGCCTATTCCACAAAACTATAATAAGCTCTCTTCCTAAAATTCTAACTGCCCAATGCCCCGCATTCTACAATACGTCTCCTTAACAGCTGAGCTATTAACTCATTTTAAAAAAACTAAAAAATCCTGATGCCCTATTCTTGTTAATAAATCTCTTTGATAAAACTCCTAGATCCATTACTAAAGCCAGAAGCAGTGAAAAATAAAGCTACGGGTACATCTTATTCAGGTCATGGTGAGAGTTCCGGTTCACGGACTTACGTCAGTTTACTCGCGGATTAATGAAACAGGTAATGTTGCTTAGTCATGGGTTGTACCAGTGTCTTTGAGGCTGCAGCAACACAGTTTGGATTGTATAAAGTATTTGGTTAATAAAAAAATTTACACCACAGAATAAAAAAAAACTTTTATAGTTGTATTTTATGGTTGTGAGTCTGCTGCAAAAAAAGCTGCATGGAAATTATTCCTCTTATAAATAGGCTAAATATCACATTAATACAATATGAAAGTTTATTTCTTGCATAGTAATTAAAACACAAAGACAATAATATTTTCTATTCTTTATTGAATTTTGTCTTCCAATTTCATTTTTTTTAAATATAAAGTTATAAATAGTAATGAGAGTGACCTATACAAAATGGAACAAGTGTTATGGCCCAAACAAATGAAAATGTTATTGACAAAACAACAAAAAATGCCTATAATAAATAACAAGACACTGAAAACTATTCTATTGTAAACTCTGTCATATAATGACTAGACTGTTTACAAATTGCTTTGAAAATCATGGTTAGACATCTTAAATAGATGTTAGAAATATAGATACAAATCTGCTTGCCTTTTCTAATTAAAAGAGGGGGGGGGGGGGGGGGGAACATTTAAACTTTAGAATTTTAATAAATGCACCAAACTGCAAGGTACAGAAAAGTTTTATAAACAAACACACTTTGGCCTGAATTATACATTGTGTTAAAAGAGTATGACTATTATGGCTATTTATTTTTTCCTAATGATATCAAGGAGTTCTACATCAAAGATGAGAGTTGCATTGGGTGGAATCACTCCAGCAGCTCCTTGCTCTCCATACCCATAATCTGGACTGATAGTCAACTTGGCACGTTCTCCTTTGCTAAGCTGAAATTTTTAAAAAAGTAGACGCAAAGGATCATTTTATTGGCAAAATGTTTTCAATGGCAGTGTCAATACAAGCCACAGGTATTTTTTGTTGTTAGTCTAATAGTGTTTTCAAACTGTTTTAATGGAACACTTCCAACATTTGGAGAATTCAGAGGCACACTTCTAAACCACATTGTAAATTTAGCAGCGAATGTTTTTTTCGAGTACAAATATATAACTATAATAAAATACAGATATAAGCTAACAGTATGAAAAAAAAAAAAAAAAGACTAATGATATATGACCTTCAAGCTAGTTTTTTTTTTTACTTTAAATTGTTGCAACATAAGAAAATCCTACCTTACACAAATAGGAAGTAGGAAACTAAGTAAATAACCAGCAGCTTGTTTTGAAATATTGTGATAATCTTCAGACAAGCTCGACTAGAAATCATTTTTTAATGGTTGATCTTTGTATCACATAAGAAACTAGATAAGTTCAAAGTGATGTTATAGATTTTTTTCATACAATTATTTTATTTTCTGCACTTACTTAGATCTAGAAATAAAACAAATTTATGTGTAGTCCTTCTAGATATAGTTAATTACTCTAAAAGTTGTATAACTCTTATTCAGGCCTGTGCTGCAAAACACAGTTTGGGAAACACTGGTATAATAAATAGTGCTCTAGCTTACAGCATACATTACCTTGGTAAAGCCTTCATCCCAACCTGAAATGGAAAATAAAATCTGGTAAATTAAAAAAAAAAAAAAAAAAAAAAAAAAAACATTTAAGAAATATCAAAATTATTGTTTTTAGTAAATCTTGATAAATTCTAATCTTTAAAAAAAAAAAAAAAAAAAAAAAAAAAAAAGCAACATACAATAACTGTTGATTGAAAAAAAAAACTAAAAAAAAAATGAACCTACCTTTAATGACTTGTCCCACACCTATCTTAGTCTGAAAAGGTTTGCCACGATCTCTTGAGGAATCGAACTTGGTGCCATTCTTGAGGGTACCTAAACAAATTTAGGTTGCAAGTTTAGAATTTAAATTATGTGCTGAAAGAAATTGGCTTAAAAAGTTAATTTGATTATTTTAATTTCATTTTATTGTACATAAAGAGACAATGGAAAAGATTGGTTTGTTATGAGAGCTATCTCTGAAATTTACACAATTCTGAATTTATTTTTCTAGTATTAAATGTTTTGAAAAAACATATATATACCTGTGTAATGAACAACCACAGTGTCACCCTTGTTGGCAAAAGTGACACCTAGAAAAAAAAAAAATGCATAAGCAAAAATATGTCTCACACACACACAAAAAAAAAAGAAGTCAAATAACATTGTAACTTATTATGCTATTAGTACTAGATGTATACAAAATGGAAATATCTATTTATAACCTTGGATGTCATTATTATCATTTGACAGAAATTGACTTATACAGTAGCTTATTTATTTATATATACACTGTGCTTTTTTTTGTAGAAAAAAAAATAGGTGCAGGTACTCAGTGATGTATTGCCTTACTTTTAACTACTTATAATAATTTTTTCCCCACATTGAAAAAGGTGCCTGGTACAGCGCTGTATCATTGTGGAGCCTCACAAAAAAAATATACAGAATGACTAACTAAATGTTGTTAGCAAATAGTTTTGAGGTTTCAATTTTGAAATTATTTCACTGTCCTTATCTAGGAAATGGTAGTGTGCATGTCCACACCGATAGGAGACAATTTTATCAGTAAAGAGCTTTATAATGTAAAAATAGAGAGAGAGTTGCAGTGAATATATAAAAATGCAAAATAATCTGAGCTTATCTTTGACCTGGATAAAATGATACTGTCAATGATACTTCAATGGGCTATTTTTAGATTTCAAATCTACAATTGAAGTATTAATTTAAGGGTATTGTCAATACTGATGGTTGGGTCCTTGCCCTACATCTGATATGAATACCTGGCTTTCTAGTTGTTTTAAAATTTTTAAAACGTGAAGGTTGATGTTTTTTTTTTAATTGATTAAATCTATCAAATATTATTCTTTTAGGATTATATGACAAAAAAGTTAACTAAAATCAAAGAGATCACTTGCTGACATTTAACTAACATTGTTATTGACAATATAAGTACATGTCAGTACTGATGGTTGGTACCTTGCCCTACATTTGATGTGAATGGCTGGCTTTGTAGTTGTTTTAAAATTAAAAATGTGAAGGTCAATGTTGTTTTTTTAAATTAATTTTTGAATAATTGAATCTATCAAATATTATTGTTATAGGATAAATATGATTCATATCAATTTATAAAAAAGTTAATTACTAAAATTAAAGATCACTGATATATACTTAACTAATATTGTTAGCAACAATTTAAGTACATTGTATGCTGGATCATCGTTACACATTTAAGTGATGGTGATTTCAACAGATGAGATATTAATTTTAACGACACTTTTTTAAAACATAAGCATCTGATCAGACATAAGTATTTTCAGTTTATGGGCAGCTTTGGAGAATGGAAGGGAAAGAGATGAGGTAGTAGGGTGTACACAAAGTTCAGTTATAAAGATTTGGATTAGCTTTTTTTTTTTAAATTTAGTTATTCTAGCAACCCAGACTACTAAACTATAATAAAAACTAAGAATCAAGTAAGAAGATTGAATTATTTGTAAAAAAAAAAAAATTGTATCCCTAATCAGTAATCTACTAATTTGTCTTTAAACTTTAAAAGTAAAACGATTAGGTTTATCGATTAAAAGACTTTGCATTTAGCAGAATCAATGATAATGTCCAGTCTACCTAGATGTACTAATCTAGCGACATATGACACTAGTGACTAGATCTAGACTGACTGTCTATTTAGACAACACTCTATAGTTTAGTATAGTCAACATTGTCAATAGTGAAGGTTGTCAATTGTAGTCCAACTGAATTTCCATTTCATTGGATCAATAAAAATTATCTTATCTTAATAGTGATATATTGGTAACAGAGTCTAGATCTAGAATATAGACTTGGTTCTATCAATTAATTTATATCTTATATCTTTCTAAATCTAGACTCTTGATTTAGATCTAGAGTAATTTATTTATTCTGGACAATACATGAATCCAAACAACTTGCCGTTTTTGTGGTCATTACATCTTAATTTTGATATTTAATATGAAACTAGCATGCTGTATACTGCGGGTGTCCATTTTCCAATGATTCTGACCCCAATTTCCTTCCATTTTGCTGTCTCTTTTTGAAAGAAAAAAAGAATTTCAAATTTTTAAGTCAGGTTTTTTTTTCCTATGTTACCAGGATGACTTTACCTCTTCTTAGGGTTAAGACTATATTTTTTTGGTTGGCTAAGTCTATCTGCAAATGAGCCTGCCAAAATTGATTGTTTTTGGAGCTGATTTATTTCAGTCATAAGCCAAGTAGTTTGATTTCATACAAAAAATAATTAGATCGGGTGTTTGTATTAAATTACGAATTTCTTACCAATATTTATACAGAACAACCAGTTTTGGACATCGATGTTAATGATTTTATATTGAAAAACATGTTGCTTTTGATTTATTTGTCTGTTGTTATTTTTATAGCGAATAAATGGATGAGCAAATGTTCGGTGTGTGTTTGATACACTGAATGAAGTTAAATGCCTAGATCTAGACCTACTAGAGAGATCTAGATTTATATCTATAGAGGGTACATATAGAGAGTATAGAGGATTCAGTTATTTAGGCAAGAATGGCCATCCTAGCCTGTACTAGACAACAAGAGTTACAAGCTATCATCTGTATCAGAAATTTATTAAATGAATAAACAAACAAGACTAAGACTGCTTTATTGATCCTTACGGAAATTTGTTGTGATTACAAGGACCTTTTTCTCATATAAAGACAACACAACAGAAAAATACACATAAATACAACAGACACAACATAAAGAGTTCATTCAGCAACTACACACATGCATCTTGGTGCTTTTCATGTTCCCTGATCAACAAGTGGCGGTGATATAGTCTGACCTGGTGAGGTATGAACAAGTTTTTGCATTGCTCTGTTCTTGTTTTGATTGACAGCAGTCGCCCACTTCGCAAGACCTGACGTAGTTCCGATGGAGCGGGTGGCCGTTGTCTTCCAAGATTTCTTCAATTTCACTTTTGTTCAAAAAGTTCCTTTAAATGTAATGTTGTGAGTGTCATTTTTGATGCCCTTTTTATGATGTTTTCTAGACGTCGCAACAGTTTAGATGAAGCGCTGCCTTGCTAACAAGTTATTCTGTATGATAGCAG